AATTTCACTATTTTAGTAGACTGGTTAGGCTGAAGTTACGCGGTCAAGCATCCATGCCATTTGACACGCTTTCGTGTCAAATACAGTTGTTCATGAACTCACACTAGCTAGCTAAGCAAACATCAGTGCTCTACATTTCTGGTCAGGAAGTATATTTTGTATTTTAGACAATTAGTCTTTTGTTTTGAATTGACCCCTGAACAGTTTTCTGGTCCAAACATGACAAGCACATTGGAAGATATACACTTGCATATGCATACTGTGTGTCTTGCGTACCCGTAGACATCCTTCTACTACTGAACTCTATTATTATTAATCTGACTAGAACAACTAACGAGTTGATTTGTTTCAATGATAGACTACATTTTCTTTACAATTAGTAGAATAACTTAATTTATTTAGATTTAAATGTTCTAATCACGAAACTTTCATTGTCATTATAGACAACAAAACACAAACTGAGAAATCATTACCAGTTACAAAGAAATATCGTTCTAAAATTGTCTCACGGAACCTGAGTAATTAGTCGAAAATTGCAGCTTTATTTATTATCAGAGTATATTAAAGTCACTGTCGCTCAAAAACTAATAAAATTTATTCATTCAACACTGTACACAAGAAAGGACATAGTGACAAATAGATACAACTTTTTTGTATCTTCCGCTTCCTATGACCGTGTCTCACAATCATAAAAGAGGACAGAGTAAACTACTAAGCAGCACACACGTCATTAATCGATAGTTGGGTATATCGTCTACTACAGAGATGACGTAGATTAACAAATGCCATAACAGTCTATTGTATCCAAGCTGCGGTTTCGTCAGCAATCGGTCCATCGAAGCTGGTGCCTCTTGCTAAATAAGTGAAGTGGTCAATACGTTCAACCACTCCACTCTTTATAAGTCGATGCAGACCAGTCCTGGAGCATCACCGTACATCTATGGAGTCCTAAACAATAAATTTGGACAATCTACCGAGTGTTAAAAATGGACACATTGTACATAGCTTTTGTTCACTCGACTTCTTTGTAAAATATGTATAACTTTCGTGTTTGAATGAAACTATAGCTGTGTTGTCCGTCGCTTCATTTTCTCACTCGTTTCTACTGTCTACTTGCTCCGCTAATCTCTGTGGTGTATTCTTCAGAACTTACAGGCGAATCTCATCCTCGTCCAAAGACTCTTCAACAACCGGTGAACAACTTCTACCAGTGGACACAACTCAGTAGTGAACCGTATTTGTGAAATATATTATTAATTTGTAGCAGTCGATTATAGCTATATTACCAAGTAACCATTATCTTTTTCAACTCGTTTATCTGTATATATATAATATACTGTCTCAATATTCTTTATTGACTTGGATTATTATTCTCATATTTCCTACACTTGTTGAACTCATTGTTTAGTCTCCTACACATCTGCCGGGGGCGAACCTCATGGCCAACATTCGAAGATTTCTGTGTCCAAAAAACTGCTTGAAAGTCTGTAGAACGACTAAAATCTTTAAATGCTAAATTATTACATACTATACACCTACATCCACCAATATTTGTCTGTAGTGTGAAAACAACTCACAGATGTTTTGAATAATATGTTTAACCACATGGGCAGTATTAATATTGAAATAAATGGATCGAAAGTGAAATCCCTAAACGTGAAAGGTTTAATGAAGACAACCATTATAGTCGCTAACTGTAACTAATATTTCGACTAATCGAATGAATGACCGATCGACAGGTTATCAAATATACTTTCTTTAGGAAACTACTTGCATCCATAGATAACAGTGCTAAGAAGTATAACTCAGGCTATATTCACCCTATCAACATCATTTTAGACTTTCCTCATCTTGTAACTGTTTATCACCTAACAAAAAAAGTTGTGTTCACTGGATTCGCCTACAGCTGCTAAGATATTTCTTGATATTCTCATCACTCATTTTTGAGAACAGTGAACACATTGCCTACTGAATATTCTATTTAAATTAGTACAAATTGCAATATTTTCTTTGACTTCAATCATTGTCATCCCAAAAAGTCAGAATAACCTAACAAATCATACTCATCCAGTTATATGCTACTGTGGTGGTGTGATACAGACAATGAGTTTCAACAGAATATTATTCTCACATATTCAATACTGCATTAGCAACAGAATACTATGTATTTGAGCATACCATGTCATGCCGTTTATTGTAAGGCAAAATCACATGCCCGTGTCTTGCCTTCTGCTGTCACACTACCATTTTCATAACTCAGAATAAATCACTTTATTCAGTTAAATGAAGTGACATTTCATTTGATAACCTGCTCAAGATGATCACATTTCAATTTATTGAAATGTAATCCGGTGATGAATTTTACACAGATTAATTTGATGGTAACACGAAGTAAAATTATGCCAAAAACCCCTTGTAGAATCAACAATCTTACGGCATCAAAGTACAAGGCAACGGCACTAAGAAAAATAACAGCTCCACTATTGACGTCAGACAGACTATACCATGATGTTTATTCTCCTTTGTAGTAACCTAAATCCAAACACTTAGTCATTTGTGTCGTTGTCAGTTTACTCCCGTTTACTATTCCCTTGCTATCAGTATTTACATTCCAATTCTTGTGAACACAAGAACTGTGTGTAAATAAAGTAAAGACCATTATTCAAGATCCTACCAATAACTGACGCCTTGATGTGATGGTTGAGGCTTGCATATCTTAGTGACCCAATTAGCTATACTGGGTGGCACACAAATGTTTCTACAGGTCCCGTAATTCCAGAAAGGTCGTTTGGATATCGGTTAAACTAAAAGCAGTCACCATGGTAATGTAAAGGGCCTACTCTAGTTTGGTGGTCTGGGGACAAAGTCCTACTGCTAGCGAATACGGACTTAATAGCAGTAAAGCTTTTACTTCAGACAACCAGCAAGCCAATTATGCTGCTTCTCCACTCTCGGAATAGACATTAGAAAAGGTGCAGCCCGAGTTACCTCTCAGTAGTCCGTAGCCGAAGTTAAGATCTTCATACCGAGAAACCCAAACACTACTTGAAAAAGGACAAATATGACCAACTCCAAACAGTTGTTACATTCTCTCGGTGGTCACACAATACTAATTTTCCTTCTGTTCCAGGTGCCCCAAACAGAAAACTTCCACGGTATTGGCAACCGAGAAGTAATAACCCCATACACACGTCTGTAAGCATACAAGGTCTTCCTGATCAGCATCCACCGTCAGCTCTATCTTCTTGCTTTCCTCCCACTGGTAATGCTATTCCATAGATAAGTGCGCCACCTTCTTTTAACTCTGTGAACATTAGTACCAACGACAGTATCTTAAGACCACACTGTCAACCCCATATTGGAGCATTTAACTTCAGGACCGTTTGTCAAATCTGACGACTGGCCGCACTAACCAGAACTCTGGCATCTCATGTATGTTGTGTTTCGGAGATACATATACAAGACTAAATATGGTTATTCACTTAACTCCACCTGGTCAGCAAGGTGAATTTGCAATGTAAGAAGTTTGAGTTTTAATAAAATAAATAGTATATTAGGTGAGGTACCTAGTAGAACCATAGAGTCTCAACATACTTCGATAGAGATATCAACTTAATCCTTCTTCCGTTATATCCACAAGATAAATACTACAAGTGAATAAAGATTTATTTATTTGTTCTTCGAAGTTACTAAATATAACGTCCACTCAAAATGTGTAGTGTGCGTAACTATTGCATAGAAAATCTGATGTTATTTCTCAAAATAAAACGACTGTAGTGAAATAGAGGTTAATAGAAATCATTTATACTAAATGAAGGCTACAACTTTCAAATCATATAAAGTGCCACTTCCACTCAACAACACACTTCCAGATTTTCATAGAAAGGGTGAATCAGTCGTGTACAAGCACTGGAACAGCCTGAAAGCAGGGTGGAGTCAAAGCCGTATGGAAGTTCTAAGCAGAAAGAAGAGACAGGACAAACAGTGGCTCAATATGGACACATGGAGGCTAACAGAAGAGAGAAGGATGGTGAAACAAAAGATTATTCAGTGCGTCGACGAGCAACAAAAACAGGAGTTGACTGCAAGCTACAATACACCGAACAAAAGAGTAAAGAAAAGTGCCAGGGAAGACAAAAGAAAATATTATGAAGTTATGGCAAGTGAAGCAGAATAAACTGCAGCAAAGGATACCTCGCAACACTCTACCAAACAACTAGGTTCCTTTTAGGGAAAAGATCAACACAAATTTGGCCGGTGAAGGATGGCAATGGAAAGTCAATCACTGAAGAGGTGGAGCAAAGGAAACACTGGGATGAACACTTCAAAAGACTCCTATATCGACCGCCACCTACAACACGAGCAATAATACCAACAGCGGAAGCAGAACTACGAGTGGACATCAACCCTTCGACGAAAGAAGAATTCCTGAAGGTAATAAAGATGCTAAAAACTGGAAAAGCAGCAGGACTCGACGGAATCCCAGTAGAGGCATTCAAAATGAACCCAGAGACATCAACAAACTCGATGAAACCACTACTGGAGGAGTGAAAAGAGGGCAAGGTACCTGCGGATTGGAAGAAAGGCTACTTGTTCAAATTGCCAAAGAAAGGGGACTAAGGTCAATGAAAGAACTGGGGTGGCATTAGGCTCCTGTCTATCACAAGCAAAATACCAATCCGCACCATCCTGGAGAGAATCAAACAGGCCCTGGATGAAAAGCCTTGACCGGAACAGACTGAATTCAGGAGAAAGAAGTCATGTAATTTGAAGAGTAGTCACACATTGCTCTAAGTTGTACATTTTAATTTTGTTTTTATGCGATCTGCTTACATTGAACTGCAATATTTTAAGTCTTCTGAACAGTCTAGCCACAAATTTATTTTTTGGATTGCTTAGTGATGACTCATCACCGCCTACTACAAATCAATGGCTTTCTAATCTTCATTTATCAGGTGTAAAACAGATCACTTTTCATGAAAAAGGAATAATATTATGTATGATTAAATATTTTATTTTTCTTCATATACGTCAATTGTGAATAAATAACACGACATAGTTTGTACAAATTGCCTTTTGTAATGCATTATAGATAATGTTATATGAAAATATCAATGTTTTGAATTTAACTGAAGACTTGTAGACCATAGACCACAAGAAACTGAGGATACAGTCAAATTAGATTTCAATTGTTGAGCTGTTAAAACAGTCTGTTTCACCGGTATATCCACAGCTTCCACAGATGAATCAAGTCCTAACTGACCATATCCATTCCAACCAAAACAAAATACGATGCCATCTTCTGTGAGACAAACTGTATGACGACCGCCACATGAGATCTAATAGAAAGTATTGAAAAGTTTGCAGGCATGTACACTTTTAAGACTCTCACACATCTTAAGCGGAAAATGAAGATCTTAATAAGTTTATTGGCAACTACGACAAAAATTTGTTACTTGCATAACAACTCGAATAATAGCAATCGAAGATTTTATCAATACACTATGTAGACTACAAATGCTTACGAAAACCGACGCCTTTATCCGACACTTTTTTATGCGCATGACAGGCTAGCGTCCGAACCGCTGTGCCACCGACCGAAAGCTGCTACCTCGACGTGGTGGTCGGGCTTGAACACCGCAATGATCTATTCAAGCTATACTGGCTGAGACTTATGTCTCTTGAGGTCCTACCATGCCAAGCAGGTTGTTTGGATAGCGGTTAAACAAAAAGCAGCTACCCTATCCAAAATCATGATAAATACAAAATCACAAAATTTCATGCCGGATCGGCCGGGGCCCGGATTAACAACGACCGCGCTTCCTGCTGCCGTGTCACAGGGCAGGAGTGATAAGTATGCTACTGAGGCACACCAAACAAAAAAGAACGAACAAAAACAGGCCGCGTGTGACCGGCCTCAAGCAGTTGTCCCCTGGGCTCTGCGGTCACGCAACCAACTTCCACGGTGTGGGCAGCCGGGAAGTAACAATCGCCCTCACAATCCGAAATGCACACGAAACCTCTCTATTACTCACTCATCTTTTTCTTCATCATCTCTATTATCTTGCCTTCCTTCCACTGATGCAACTCCTCTACTTGATAGCTCTCCACTTCCTCTCCACTCTGTGTCCACTAAAAACGATGGAAGCCAAAAAACCACCACCAACAGCCTCTTAAAGCCACGCCACCAATTTCATATAGGAGCATTTAATGTTAGGACACTTTGCCAAATAGGACAACAAGCATCACTAGCTAAGACCCTGGCATCCCGAGCCATTGATGTATGTTGTGTTTCAGAAACACGCATACAAGACCCAAGTGTGGTTATTCACCTAACCCCACCTGGCCAACAGGATGAATCTTCAAAATTCACCTTGAGGGTGTCAGGAGATGCCACAGCTAGTTCACGAGGATTAGCTGGCGTAGGGATAGCTCTGAGTACTAGGGCAGAAAAGACATTGCTTGACTGGATCCCGGTAGATAGCCGAATGTGTGCTGTCCGTCTGAACGGATCAGTAAGAAGGAGAAAAGACTGCACTACTCGCCGATGCCTTTTCGTAATCTCCGCCTACGCCCCCACTGACTGCAGTTCGGATGAAACGAAGGATGAGTTCTACCAAAAGCTGTCTAGTTTGGTGCGAAAGGCTAAACGCTCAGACATAGTCGTTCTAGCTGGTGACTTTAATGCTCAAGTAGGGAAATTGTGTCAATCTGAGAAGGATGTCGGTGGCACCTATGGAGTTCCGTGCCAGCGAACCGACAACGGTGACCGTCTCCTACAGTTCTGTTCAGATAATCATTTGTTTCTTGTAAGCACTAACTTTAAACACAAGGAGAGACACTGTTTGACCTGGCGACCCCCTTCATCAAACCAACGCTGGACACAAATAGACCACATAGCAATAAGCTATCGTTGGCGTGGGTCGGTAGGAGATTGTCGCTCCTTCTGGAACACGTGTGTAGATACCGATCACGCACTGGTCCGGGCTCGGGTGTGCTTACGACTGAACGGACGTAGGAAACAGCTGGCGGTAAAACCATCACGTCCCCAGCTCGATCAGGAAACTAAATCCCTATTTGAGGAAGAACTAGCTAAACACATATCTGTGTTCGACAGCTGTGCTCACCCTGGAGAAGCCTGGAAGAATATTCAGTCAGCTATAGATACAGCTGTAAAAGCTGTGAATAAGTTAAACCCAAAGGTGAGTAAAAACCACTGGATTTCGACTGCCTCATCCGAACTGATAGATGCTAGAAGACTTATTCCGGCGAGCTCCGAATTCAATGAGGAGCGAAAGCTGCACAAAAGGAAACTTACGAAAAGTCTCCGCAAGGACCGTGAACAGTGGTGGGTGACAAAGGCGAAAGAGATGGAAAAAGCTTCGGCGATAGGCAACACTAGGCAACTCTTTAGACTCATCAGGGAAACGGGTGGGAGAAGGCAAATCATAAGTGAGACTATTTCTGAGAAAAATGGCTCCTTAATTAGCTCTCAGGATAGACGCCTTGAACGCTGGAAAGAACACTTTGAGGAACAATTTAACTTGCCTACAGCCACACTGAACCTCCCCGCCATCCACCACACACCCGAATGGGATATAGACACTGGTCCGCCGTCTGTAAGTGAGGTCACAAAAGCTATCAGTAATTTGAAACGAGGCAAAGCGGCAGGACCCGACGGAATTATTCCGGAGGTGTTTAAATATGGGGGTGACATACTAGTTTGTAGATTAACTGAGGTACTAGGCAAAGTCTGGGAATCAGAGACAGTTCCATCAGACTGGGGTAAGTCACTTATTATACCGATATTCAAGAAGGGAAACAAGTCCTCGTGTGATAATCATAGGGGGATCAGCCTAACGAACATAGTCTCTAAAATCCTAGGCTCAGTAATCATGCATAGACTAAGCAGAACTCGGGAGGAACAGACAAGGGAAAATCAAGCAGGCTTTAGACCAGGTAGAGGGTGCATAGATCATATCTTCACTCTTCGACAGATTCTAGAACATAGACACACTTTTCGGCGTCCAACAATTGCCATATTTCTTGACTTGAAGGCGGCCTTCGACTCCGTGGATCGAAAGGTACTATGGCAATGTCTGACTGTGAAGGGAGTGCCAAGAAAGTACATTGCACTAATCAAGGCACTCTATTCAAACTCACGTAGTCGTGTAAGGGCTTATGGGGAATTGTCATCTGAATTGGTAACAACCAGTGGTGTCCGACAGGGATGTCCACTTTCCCCATTTCTGTTTAACTTCATCATAGATATGCTAATGGAAGTATCCTTAACTGAACGTAACGACTTAGGAATCGACTTGTTACCAGGGAATAGTATATGGACTTAGAATATGCAGATGACATAGTCCTGTTAGGGGAGGATGCTGACAAAATGCAGAGTCTTCTGAACACCTTCGTATGTTTGGCATGCGATTCGCCCCTGCAAAATGTAAGATGCTGCTACAGGACTGGACTACGTCAACTCCTAACTTAGTGATAGGGAGTGAAGTGATAGAACATGTTGACCACTTCACCTATTTGGGAAGTTGTATCAGCACCAACGGACTGATTGGCGATGAAATCTCAGCACGGATCCGAAAAGCTCGAGCTGCTTTCGCTGACTTACACCATCTCTGGCGTAGGCGTGACATCCGGTTATCAACCAAGGGACGTGTGTACTGCTCATCAGTTCGCTCCGTCCTTCTCTATGGCTCAGAAACATGGCCAATGCCAGTTGAAGACATGAAAAGGTTGACTGCTTTCGATCATAGATGTCTGCGATCTCTTTCTCACGTTAGGTCTGTCTGTCTGTCTGGATTCAACATAGAACTTGGCACCGAAGTGCACCAGTTCGAGTTACCACGTTCCAAATAGCACAGAGGTAGACAAGAAGATGAGTGAAGAGAATCAATAGTTTCACAAGTATAAGAGTGAAACACAATGGGTAATGGTAGAAAGGGATATGAAAGATTAGAGACTGAATACATCTGCGCCATTGACAACGATTTTGAGCCATGCCACCTATTGTCTCCAGCCATTGATTCCTAGAGTCCCGAGGGCCCCAACCCGGGAGTCTGCATCTCCCTACCTGACTCGGTTTAACTGTCAAGGATTTCACGTTAGGTGGTTTAATAAGGCAAGTAATGTTGACGTTAGGCGTAGAATGTTGGGCAAACAGGGAAAATCAATCGACGAGGCTATAGTTACATAGATTGAGATGGCTAGGTCAGGTCCTGCGCGTGCATAACCATCGCCCCCCCCCCGATGGGTATTACTAAATGATATAGCTGCAGGCTGGAAAAGAGTAAGTGGTAGCCAAACAAAAACATGGCATCAATCCATGAAATCCTTGATAGTTAAACTGAGTCAGGTAGGGAGATGCAAACTCCCGGGTTGGGGCCCTCAGGACTCTAGGAATCAATGGCTGAAGGCAATAGGTGACGTGGCTCAAAATCGTTGTCAATGGCGCAGATGTATTCAGTCTCTTAATCTTTCATATCCCTTTCTACCATTACCCATTCTGTTTCACTCTTATACTTGTGAAACTATTGATTCTCTTCACTCATCTTCTTGTCTACCTCTGTGCTATTTGGAACGTGGTAACTCGAACTGGTGCACTTCGGTGCCAAGTTCTATGTTGAATCCAGACAGACAGCGTGACATACCTAATTAACAAACTAATATGGAACTACTTATTACCAGAGTGCCCAAGTTTTACACATATATTAATATGGTCCAAAATAAAATATAGAAAAGATGTCCCGTAGATTCCCCATTACATGAATTGTGTAGGCAATTACTACTCTATTTTCGCAAGAATACACATGCATGTTGCACAGGCCCTTACAGTTCGCTCAAAAATGTACTTAAAACACCCTCAAAGCATTAACTGAGGAGAAACAAGAAACTTTGTCATTAACACTAGTTTTTGACACTCGTCAGATCGATTATTTTGTAACAGTATCATATCAGAGTGAGACAGTGAGATGTTAGAGCTATAACTGAAAATATTAGGATGTGAATTAAGCTTTGAACTCTGTTAGTATTATTAATACATAGTGACAAATCAATTTAATTTAAGAAACTCTTCAAAAAAAGTGTTTTCTACCTGGGAAATAGACAGTTCATCGGGAAAATCTACAGGTGTTGGGATAGCAAGCACAGAAACACAGCTTTGACGTTCATTTTCACTGATTATCCCCAACTTATTCTTGACTCCAAGTGACTTATGCCCCAACTGACCATGTTCATTCCAACCCCATGTATAAACATCCCCTGTATCTAGAAGAAAAGGCATCTAATTATGCGTTGTGACTCACCAGTTAGGCATGCGGAATGCCAATGACCAGCTGAAATCTGAGTAACCGTTAAAATTTGCAAAGCTTCAATTAAAGTTAGTTCTGTCCTCTCAGACAAGTCACCTAAACCCAGTTGACCCCGACTAGAAGTGAAGACATTTGAGTTAAGAAAACAACTTACCCACCTTCCTATACCCTGGCTGAATACTTGCCCTGAGAAAGTTAAACACAACAAAAATCCTAATCCGCATGAAATCGATTTTATTTTAACTGAGAAACCAAATGGACGATCAATTGTAGTAATTCCTTCTAATTTAGTGATGGTTAGAAGACAAAGTGTCTCATCTTAAACGGAAGTAAAATGAAATGATAAAACTCCAAATACCTCTTATGCAATAAACACTATAGCCATCTGAAGCTAACTGAGTTACATCTGTTATATCACTATAGATTTCAGTCCCAGTGTTCTTCTCGACAGCAGTGATGGATGACAGTGTTTTCAAAATAATCCATGCATTATTGGAACAAACAGATACGAGTGGTTGATTGAAGCATTTTTCCCGTAACAGACCATACAAGACATATGATGATGCTGATCCTGAGTCTTTACTAAAACCATTAGAAAAGAAATTTTGGTTTACTCAGAGAAAAGATCGAGCAGTGCCAATCTGAAAAAACCAAAGGGTTATTTGGTTTGAATTCAAATGTCGATTCCCATCCTGCATTAAAATTACGGTATGCCCCCGAAACCAACGCTGAATTTTCTGAAGTAATCTTCATTAAAATGGCACCTATGATTGCATGAAGGAAAACAAATTTGTTGTTTAACTCGCATAACACAGTCCAACAGCCATATGATTGGCTACAAATTAATATTAATTAAAAATCCTGAGAATTGAAGTCATAACAAAAATAGGTAGTGTGAGTCTTAGTGAATTTTAATAGTTCTGCTCTACGGAACTTCCGTATGCAAGCTGATTATATTCATTGAAAACCGAACACACAATGGTGCAAATTTAATATAGTCCTTTGAACGCGCATGACAATGTAAATCTCCTGTTTAACTTCGAGTATGTGCATGACATCGTCTTACAGTTTATAAGAAACTCGAGTTATTATTGTTCATTTAACAGTAATTGTATGTATGATTGTATTATTGGGGTGAGTACATTCACAAAATAGACAGGAAGCAGGACTTGTATGCTAGTGTGACTAGTGAAACCCACAATCGTATTGAAAAAGCAAAAACAGCAAGCCAACCACAGAAACATAGATTTTGTCGTAAAACTCCCAGAAATGAGTACAAAATTAATGCTTGTGAAGTGAGGCTTACTCGGTCCGATGACGGCTAACGGCTTATGGGGTTTAGATATTAAAATCTTAAGATTGGTACAGCTACCACACGAGTTTTGTTGTTTCTGTCACAGGACAACAAAGACGTATATGGAAATAACAGCTAACATAGTGAACCTGCCTCAAGACTTCAGACTATCTGCATGGAAGCTAATTTTTGACAGCTTAGGATCCATTCTATAGAGAAAATAAGGGATAGTTCGCATATAAGACAATCTGTGGGTTAGACTTATCTATCCATATATTTGGCTTCTGAAAACTACAACAAAATGCTTGCGTACGACATTTGTAGTCACTTATAGCCTTTCAAACTGGCATAAGTCGATTCCCATGATATGTGAAGTTGTTGCAATTCAAGTTTAGTAGCCAGAGACCGAGCTGACAATGTTTCGAGGCATAATGTCCCTCTGAACTAATAGTAAGCAGGTATCTCAAGTTGGAAACATCCGGTGACTGTTCCTCGTAATTAGTGTCTTCGTAGGACTGTGCGCATCTAGTGAAAAAACAATGTAAATAACTTGGAAGTTTCGTGCAGTGTTTGGGCGAAATTGTCTAACCATAAGTGGCTCCGGAGCATAGAATATATCTCACCGGAGGCTTTTATACCTTTCACTGTTTGTTATGCATAAAACTGTTCGGAAAAGCAGATGTTGAGGATTTGACATGACCCTTTGGGATGAATGCCAGTTTTCAGTTAACATCTGTTGGTGTCACCAAGTGATTTAAATCTGCCACAGACGGCTGAATAATAGAAGGCAGCTGGAACCGTAATGCTGTTTTTGGTTCCTTCGAATGCCATAAATATTACCCACGAATGAGCAAAGTTCGGAATGTAACTGATCGGGAAGCCAACCTCATTATTTCAAAACTATTATCCTTTGATTTCCCTGGTATTCTTACATAAGTCAGTTTGGCCCACATCTTGACAACTACATTCTGAGGAGCCATCAAATAACCCCATTCAGGGTAGAGGCATACACACAGTCCTCATACTATGCAGAAAATTTAAACTGATGTCACTCGCCCAAAGAAAGAAAGATAAAAAAAACCTCAAAATAACAATGAGGAGGCGATATTCTGTTGTTGTTTTTTTACAATGTAAGGACCTTGGAGAAACTCCATTAAACCAGGGTTGATATAAAAGCATGGGGAGACTGCGGAAACCAACAGCCAAACACCACGCTAACTTTAGGTTTCAGAACATCGAGTCCATACGCGTCACCAATCCTTAGGTCCTCAAAGCAACCCACAACATTTTTCCCAATTCAGCCGAAGACTTCGCCAACTGCAAGAGCCTGAAGGATAACTGAAAACTATCATATGTTCATAATGGTGTTTGACTAATTCGTGCACCAACAGTAAACAATGGACAACACAGACCGTACGATACAAATCTTCGAGAAGCGTTAGCAGAACCCTAAGTAAACAGTAGTGCCGATGTTTCAATACTAAAGTTACAACGACAAGTCATCTTAGGCACTACTGTTCCCGCAGACGAGTGGAGAATTTATTCGCAACTGCCATCATTAGGTTTCCTTCATCATAAAGTCGATCATCCTTCTGTATCAACGAATTCTATAAGTCGAACTCATAAAAATTCTCCTTGAAGACTCTGGGCCCAGCTAAAAATCTTGCATAGTAAAGACCTACTACAGCAGCCATGTGTATGCATATATCTACGTATATGCACAAAAAATGATAACCGCCCGCAGTTCTGCAGTGCACCCGTAGTCAATGCTAGCTAGGAAACAACTAATTCCCAGTGATTAACATCAGCTGAAGAATATTTCGGAGGGCATTCGGAAATAACTCAGATTTTAAGAAGATTACGTTTCCCAATGGCCTGTTTTCATTTGCATTAATTAGTGCGATTGCTACACCCTATTCATAATAATACTAAACCTTATTTCTTCTGCTCCCCCATAGATTCGAACCATGGCTAAAATCGCAGATTCACAAACTATTGTTTTCGTTAGATATTTCGAAGGGAGATGGAGATTAGATAACGTTACGAACACCTGGACTTGAGGGTGACGAAGCACTTAATAATTCCCGCCCGAAAGTTTATTTGTCCAAAATGTATTTTCATTTAGGATTTGTCTGAACTAAGTTAAACTCAAGGCACCGAAGCAGTCTGACCATAAACTTCTGTCCAAGAGTCGCTCAAACAGGTTAAATAACACTTTAATCATGAACAGAAAATACTAGATGAAGCGTAACGTTATTGGACGCCACATCCGTGAGTCTTAGGTTAAGTTTAGTGAAGATCAACTTAATGTTCAGACTATGGAAGTCCAAAACATAGTAAACCTATCCAGGGCAATGTGATGGTTGGTTCCAGTCAGATCACTATTGGTTTAATGATATTCTCGGGCTAGGTTTAAGGTTAGAGAACCAAGATGAATACATGTATAGAATGTGGTTTAATTACACTGTTGACACTGCAAAGCAAAACGGAGAGGCACTTTTGTCATGTATCACAGAAACGTATTCTGTGTAATGGTTTTACTGATCAATAAATGTATTTTGGCGCGTAAAAAGCACCTTTTTCACAGGATTGGTACGAACCCTGCTGTTTTGATTTTTATCAATGATCTACCACGCTGTCTAAGCTGCCCGACTCTCATATATGCTGACGACGTAAAAATATGGAGGGCGATAAAGTGTCCGGAGGACTCAGATAGGCTGCAGGAAGAGCTAAATCTTCTGGAAGACTGGGCGGTGACCAGTGGTATGACTGTCAACCTGAAAAGTGCAAAGTAGTGAAGTTGCGCACCTGCTGACTGCAGAATGCAAGTTACACCCTGTGCAATGAAAGCCTGTCCTGCACAACTTCGGAACGTGACTGAGGTCTAGTTCTAACGTGAAGAGTGGACACAAGCGTAAAAGACACAGGGATGCTGCGAATGCATATGTCGTCATACACTTTACACATGGACAGTAAGATGCACTCACTCCTGAGCTCTTTCTAAGGTTGTACAAAACATACGTCAGACCACACCTTGAGGTGCATAATATTATTGCATCCCCAATGCTGAGAAGAGACGCCAACATCTTGGAAAGAGTCCAACGACGGGCAACAAAAGGAGTGGTTGGTCGCCGAAACAAACCATATGATGAAAGCCTGAAGAAATTAGGCCTGTTCACACTTAGTTACCGTCGGCTTAGGGGGGATTTGATTACTGCCCGCAAAATAACAAATGACCAGAATCACCCAAACAAAGGCGTTCTGTCATCGAGTAGGTATAGGCTTCCACGTGGAGATCCCAGAAGGATAGCTCACCAGAGGGCAAGGACCCGGGTGCGCTCCCACTTCTTTCACTGCGGGTTTGCCGTCCCTGGAATTACTTACCGGCAGATGTAGCTATGGCACCGTCTGTGGACGCCTTTAAGCGAAGGCTGGACAACCATGCAGCGACACATGACTGCATCCAAATGGCCTATCCCCTTAAAATCGCATACACCATTCAGGGGTAGACAATTAAACTCGCTGTTTAACTTCTTTACATTCTCTACCGTCTCACTCTCCTGACAACTTATTAATATTATCATTATTACCGATATATATGTATATATATATTATTCTTCAAAATTAATCAGCTGACTGTTGTTACGCTTTCCTATTTCCGTTAATGTCTCTTAGTCTGAATAACTTCGCTAATTATATCTATTATTATTGTTATTACCATCTCTTTTCTCCTTTCGACGATACCGAAGGACTAACTGGCGAAGGATCAACTCCATTCACAGTAGTAACAGTCTTAACACACCTCATACTACAAACAACATGTAATTAATCCCAGCACTACTGCCTTTGGAGTCAACCAGAGCTACTACAGTCAAGTGGCGGGACGAGCTACGCAGAAGTTTACCGAAGATCAGGAACCTATATCTTACAATCAAGAAGCGAGCACAAGAAAATCAAATTGGTTTATACTAGCTCGTAAAAACGATATTGAATATTAGAACCCTATTTCCAGTGCATTAAGTATAAGCCCGCCTTTGTGCGGTGTGACAGATAACTGCTTCTCATCTTGAACTACGACCAAATATTTGGTATAGCTGAGCGGCACAATCACAAACGTCCTCACTTCTCTCATACCTCATTCGCAAGAGATGATGACCGATCGACAAGATGATACTTACTTAATTCCGTCGTTGTTTTTCGAAGACAAAGACATAAATAAAATTCAAAAACATAACTTTGGATTAAATCCTAGCCAAACAGATGCGTGTGTCATGCAGTCCATTGAACATCAATCATAACTGTCTCTCTGATGTCCTAAAATGTTCAGTGATTAGGATGGACTTCAATGAATTTTACATGCGACATCCTAGCCAGCAATAACTTCGGGAACGCTGCAGACATTTCGGCACGTTTTGAAGTCCTGTGCTGATGTCTCGAGCCTATTAAGTCCTTTAAAACGATGGAAATAAAAGCGGTAAGTCTTCGTCGATCCCACACAAACAAAGTGAAACGGACCGTCACATAAACAATTTCTGGTAGTAATCGTTACACATATACGAAATTATAGTTGTTGTCATAGATACCCATATGCGAAACGTAACCTGATGCGTTTACTGAGCCAAAAAACAGGAAGAATTTCGAAAATGATACCCCTCAAAAATGGTTGGCCAGAACGTTTCATTACAAAATCCATAAAACCAAACCCACTTGGACTGCGCACACTTTCTGATTCTAAAAGCGTTCTTACTTGAATCTATGATTTGACTTATCAGTAAAAATACTGAGGAGCCTTCTCTCCTGTTCATTGAAGAAAACTTCTTCGCGACCGAACTTACTATACGAAAACAGTGATTCGCGTGAACGTGAAGGATAAGCTATCACTGTTGGTCTCATCAATATGCACCTTCCAGTTCTCTTACTTGTGCCTTAGAGTAATACTTGTCTTATGTTTCGTGGGGAGAATTTTTTGTTTGTAACCACACGAGACCCCCGTTATGAGGTGGATTAAACCTCTGACATTGCTAATAGGCTTTCATTTCTGATGTTATCTAATCTATGTCACACTCGAATCCACGTGCAAATCACCGTCTTCTAGAGTGCCCCTAAAGAACCGCTGTTTTAAAGAAAATAAAAGACAGATTCAGCGAAGAAAATTTTCTTTATTGACGAAATCATCTTCAGAGGCTGTACAGTAGTATTTATACGCACAAAAATATATAGTGATCTATTATTGAGTACTAGGGGGTGACTTAATTAATATAATTATTCAGAAGCAGCTTTAGAATTGAAAATTAGAAATTACATGGTACCCAACAGCACAAAGATAGAAATCTGAAAAGATTAAAATTGCCACTGAGTGAGAATAAAGGTATTTGAGTGTCAATTTAGCAAGTGTTAAAGAGGGTGTAAAACGTACCGCTGTTTTTCCAATAAACAGGGTATGAACCTTTACTTATAAGTTTATCCGGTTTCCAAACACAAAATGTCGATTCAAACAAGAAATGCTTGACAGTCCGGTGAACCACAAACAGCCTAATTAACACAAAATGTGAGACGGTACCTAGAACACAAGTTTAGTGTCTAGACGTAACACCCCACGAAAAAAGAAGGTTTCTTTCTTTTGCAAGCAATCAACGAAATAATATTTACTCTTAATAATAATATAATGATACATTTATTCCTTTTTACTCAGAAACATACCAATTGTACAGGCACGGATAAGTTATTATATAAATTACACATAATTTGATGGGGTATGATGTATTTACAGTTTGGTTGTTCTTTCTGACGTTAGAGTCAGTCGGAACAGTCTGCCATAAAGTCTGTTTGTGTAACACATAAAGAAATATAGAAATATTGTCTTCGCATTAACAAAAAACCCAGACATTAGATGAATGTAATACAGGTATCTGGGAAAAATAAAGCTTGAAGTCAATTCTCCTATATAACTTTGTTGTGAACAGCACCCTTGGCTTAAAGTTTATTGTTGTATCATGTTGAGATCAGTGACGTATTGATTGCATTTTTCAGCAGTCTTATCGTAGTTTTATAACAGGAAAGAAATTTGATAGTGGATGAGTAAACTAGATAAGGTCATGTTGGGTTGTTTTACTGCATCAAATAGGGCCGAGGACTATTCCAGAATTTTCCATTTGCGCCATTTGTGTCCGCATGGTGGAGTGTACACGTAAGTTCAGTAAGATATTGAAAACTGTTTGAAAACCAGTTGCTTCTTTATTTCAGATCATGAGTAGTACCTGCACAGAACGTTAACAAGCGTCTTCAAATGGTAGTATTGGATCGTTCATGGAGTTTGAGTGGTAATGAGTTAAATGGTCAGGAGCCCAACTTCAATTCCGTTTAAATGGAGGGTTGTTAGACCTCAACCTAAAGGTTAACAGAAGAGTAGAAGAGCAACTTATCCCTAAGTTCCTATTGTTACGAAGACGCTCCGAACCGATAAATACTACATACTTTTATTTTATTTTTTTATTTTTGACTTACAGCTTGATTCTACACTGTATTTTCGGTACAAGTATAGAATTTTCAGCATGGATATCGGTAGCCCAAATTTTGCAGGCCGACCATAGATATCAGGTGTGCGCCGGCGTGGGCTCGAACCCCGAACCATGTGCATGGTCGGCGAGTCCTAGCCACTGTGCTACCAACGCACCGACTCTAGCTCCAAAACACCAGTATTGTAAGAAGAAAGTTATATTGTTTGGCAATTAAAGTAAAGAACAGTGCAAGTATGTAAACAAATATTTTATACAAAATTATGAAGTAATTTTATTCGTTTTTGGTCGTCCTCGTCTAATATGTACACGACTGACCCGTTCGCTCCTTCGAGTTTCCCAACAATAGCTACCAGTTCCAAAAACAAACGTTCAGTGTTCACCGCCATGGGCAATATATATATTTATATAATAATAATATATATTCTCATTTTTGTACATGAGGGACGCCAGTTTACAGGCATCATCAATTCGACGAACTGCATATACGATTAGTAAGCATATTCAGTAAAGATAATGTAATAAGGTACATATTTTTTCCTAGCTATGTAGGATACACCAATTTTATAGCCATGC